TTTCAGAATTGGTTGAGGATGTCTCAGGCGAAACGCTGGTTTTGCAGAGTTGGGGGATGTCTCGAGCGAAACGCTTGTTTTTCAGAATTGGTTGAGGATGTCTCGAGCGAAACTCTTTTTTTGCGGAGCCGACCGCGACACGGAAAAGCGCCCCGCGTAGAAATTCCGAGGATGTCTCGCGCGTGCCGCGTCCCGCGCGCAGGAATTTCGAGGATGTCTCGACTAATTCGTTTGTTTTTCGAGGATTTCCGAGATTTTGAGGATGTCTCGAGCGAAACGGTTGTGTTTCAGAATTGGGTGAGGATGTCTCGAGCGAAACGCTGGTTTTGTAGAGTTGGGGGATGTCTCGAGCGAAACGCTTGTTCTTCAGAATTTGGTTGAGGATGTCTCCAGCGAAACGCTGGTTTTGCAGAGTTGGGGTATCTAACATGGCGTCGGGCCCAACGCCGAATCACAAGGAAACGCACGTCGGGCCGAAAAGCGCTACCCGAACACATGTCCCAATACAGAAAAGTGATGGTTTCTTGCTCTGAACAGGGGGTTGCGCTTTGGGGGCCTCTCCAGGGAAGGCGTAGCGAGGATGTCTCGAGCGGGAGCGCGAATTCAGCGTATCCATGTCACGCAGGGGGGTATCTAACATGGCTGTCCCGAGCTGGAACCATGTGTTTTTACCTAACAGCGAAGACTGATAGGTTTCTAGTAGTCTTAAAAGAGAGCAGCAGATGACTCCACAGGGGGGTCTGGGCGGGTGCCGGACAGGGTGCCGCAGAAGTCGTTTTAAGCAAACAGTCACACACTTCGTGCTCTTCGACCTCCCAGAACTCCATTCCCGGGCCACATTCTGAATGCCCGGAGCCAACTGTAGGCACTTCGTGCTCTTCGACTTCCCAGAACTCCATTCCCGGGCCACATTTTGAATGCCCGGAGCCAACTGTAGGCCACTTCGTGGTCTTCGAGCCCCCAGAACTCCATTCCCGGGCCACATTTTGAATGCCCGGAGCCAACTGTAGGCCACTTCGTGCTCTTCGAGTTCCCAGAACTCCATTCCCGGGCCACATTTTGAATGCCCGGAGCCAACTGTAGGCCACTTCGTGCTCTTCGAGTGCCCAGAACTCCATTCCCGGGCCCACATTTTGAATGCCCGGAGCCAACTGTAGGCCACTTCGTGCTCTTCGACTTCCCAGAACTCCCTTTTCCTCGGGCCACATTTTGAATGCTGAGGCAGGCTGATGCTGCGGTCGAGGCAGGCTGGGGCTGAGGCAGGCTGAGGCTGAGGCCGAGGCTGAAGGCAGACTGAGGCTGAGGCTGAAGCAGGCTGAGGCTGAGGCTGAGGCGGGCTGAGGCTGAGGCTGAGGCAGGCTGATGCTGAGGCAGGCTGAGGCTGAGGCTGAGGCTGATGCAGGCTGAGGCTGAGGCAGGCTGAGGCTGAGGCCGAGGCTGAAGGCAGACTGAGGCTGAGGCTGAAGCAGGCGAGGCTGAGGCTGAGGCAGGCTGAGGCTGAGGCTGAGGCTGAGGCAGGCTGAGGTGAGGCTGCTGCGACTGCCGTTGCCGCTGCGACTGTCATCGCGAATGCGACTACGACTGCGAGAACAGCAGAATTCTACAACTGGATTTTCATCTGAATCTTAAGGGGAATGCTTTCAGATATGCTTCTACACATCGCTGTTAGGTTGCTTTGCCGGGATAATTTCATGCTCAGGCCACCCAGGGAGATCTCTAACATGATTGTCCCGAGCTGGAACCACGTGTTTTTACGTACCCAGGCCACCCAGGGGGTATCTCTCATGGTTGTCCCGAGCTGGCACCGTGTTTTTACGTGTCCAGGCCACCAACACGACGCTTGTCCCCAGCACGTTCTGTAGCGCGTCCCCTTGGCACGCCCCGCGGTGCGTCCCCATGGCACGTCCCCTGGCACGTCGCCTGGCGCGTCCCTTGGAACGTTCCGCGGCGCGTCTTCCTGGCATGTTTCCTCGCAATTAGCTCTGGGGCAGCTACTACGTGGACTATGTGCTCAGGCAGCTCGAGCTTAAGATCCAGATCAGTTCGGTTAGGACTCGGACCCAAAGGAGGACTCGATCCACGAGGCTATAGAGCACAATCGCGGCATGGCACATCGCAGATCAGCACGGCGCAGCACAGTACAGCCTTCGGCACGGTACATCAAGATCGATACACTGACTCAGCATTGCAACCTGGCACTTTCTTTGGCACGTTCCGTGGCGCGTCCTGTGGCGAGTCCCCCTGGCACGTCGCGCGGCGCGTCCCCTGGCACGTCCCGTGGCACGTCCATTGGCACGTTCCGTAGCGCGTCCCCTTGGCACGTCCCGCGGTGCGTCCCCGTGGCACGTCCCCTGGCACCTCGCTTGGTGCGTACCTTGGCACGTCCCGTGGCACGTCCATTGGCACGTTCCGTAGAGCGTCCCCTTGGCACGTCCCGCGGTGCGTCCCCATGGCACGTCCCCTGGCACGTCGCCCGACGCGTCCCTTGGAACTTTCGGCGGCGCGTCTTCCTAGCATGCCCCCCCGTGAATTAGCTCTTGGGCAGCTACTATGTGCTCAGGCAGCTCGAGCTTAAGATCCAGATCAGTTCGGTCAGGACTCGGATGCAAAGGAGGACTCGATCCACAACGCTCTAGAGCACAATCGTCACGTGGCACATCGCAATTCAGCACGGCGCAGCACAGCACAGCCTTCGACACGGTACATCAAGATCGATACACTAAGCATTGCATTTGCCCGTCGCCCAATCAAGTGTTTTTGAAACGTTGCCAAGTCTTACATTTCTATATTCCTTTCCGGGTTCGTGGGTCGATCATGTTGGACCCTGACCCCGCCGATCTGCGTGAGGGATGCCACCGAGTCTCAGAAATGTAGTAATTCCCTTGTGTTTTTGGACCCTGACCCCGCCGATCTGCGTGAGGGGTGTCACCAGATTTCAAACATGTGGCAAATCCCTTGTGTTTTTGGACCCTGACCCCGCCGATCTGCGTGAGGGGTGTTAATTTTTTCCTACCCCAGCAATTCACAGCATACGATTTCTCCGTCGTAAAAATGCCCGTTTTGGGCCTCCCCCCCTCGCGCTGTCCATCAACAAGGAACAGTCAGCAGCAAGAAGTCAACAAGAAACAGTCAGCAGCAAGAGGCAGAACTGTAACAGTGGAAACTGGAAGCTGCAATTGGCACAGGAAACTGCGAACCTTTGCCCTACAGCCTGGTGGCCCCACAAGGGGGCCGGCGGATTTCATTACGTCCCCAGCCCCCCCCCCCTGGGCCGCGCATATGCCGCCAGTCATGATTTGCACCCCCCCCCTCGTGAACGCCCCCCTCTTGGCCGCCCACGAGATCAAACGGAAGGGGCATCCCGTCGAATGAACTAGAACGTTTTTTGATTTCCGTCTGGCTGTATCGCTTGAGGAGGAGGATCCCAGGACAAGGGGGGGGCGGCGATGGCGACGACGACGGCGGACAGACGGAAACAGCCTCACACGTGCCGACAGGGTCGGCGGATGTTCATTTTTGGAAGCGGCCCATTAGAAGACAACCATCTGAGAGTTTTCACTCGTGCCAGAACAATGCTCCTTGGACTTCTTCAACGCCGCGGGGCAATGTGACTGTGGCGTCTTGACAATTCAAACCGTACCAAGACGCCATTCGTGGGACTGGGGCGCCGCGAGTAAGCGCGATTGTTGCGTCCTGGCTGCCATGCAGCAGCCACCCGGCGCTGCAGCAGGGCACCACAAAACATCGCGCAGACCCATCTGTCCATCCACGAACACTCCATCCCTCTTGCTGGACAGATCCCTTCGAGCTCAGGCCGTTTGGAGCGATCTGCAACATGCATTCCGTCCGACCGCTTCTCTAGGGGCTACTCTTCAGGGAAGCGGCGAGGCGCACCCTGATGCTCACCGCTGGCACACAAAATAGTCAAAACATAGCACCAGAAAAATTAAAAGATACCCTAAACATTGCCCCCGAAGTGCTCAAACATAGTCAAAACATAGTCCCTCGACCACCTTTTTTATTATTTCTGAATATTCCTCCTGTATAGGGACAGGCCCGACTTAACGCTGGCACATCACCAGTGCAAGCTCATCCTCGCGCGGGTTTGCCGCGAGAGGCCGGCAGCTGCTCTGCGGCCTTCGCGCACGGCCGCTGCGGGGGGATGTCCCGAGGTGATGCGCCGCGGTTCGCCGAGGGCCAAAACGCGCTGGAAGCTGGCGCCTGATCGCAAACATTCAAAGGGAGGAGAAGCGATACCAACACCGCCAGAGGGCCCACCGCCAGCGAGGAGGTCCACGATGCCTCTCCGAGCTGGAGGCTGGGGATGTCTCGAGCGAGAGGGCGGGACCACACCACCAGGGAGTTCCCCCCTGCCTCCTCGCATCTCCTCGCCCTGTTGGTGTTGGTGTCGCCTTTCCTTGTTCCTAAACATGGATTAAGGGGGCGTGGATTAGCGACGGGTCCCGCTTCCATGGAAAATCGCGATTCCGCCGCCGAGGGAGGCGGCACCGGCCGCATTGTGGGGAGGGCACCTTCCCCGATCCATGGATTCGGCCGACCGCGTGCCAAATCCACGGATCGCTGAGCCACGTTTGCGCCTCCTCGATCGGGTGTGCGGACGGGGCGCGCCACGCCCTGATCACCACCGGCCCGTTCCGATTTCCAGTCGGGGACCTCCAGTCCGCGCCAAGGTGCGGGGGGTTCCCCACCCCAGTGCGAGGCACTCAGTGCGCTGCGGGGGGTTCGATCTGCGGCGCCCCCCGCCAGTGCGAGGCACTCAGGCCTGAAGGGTAGTCAACAGCCCCGCTGGGCCTGGACGGGCTGCCGTCCGAAGTTTGTTGCGCGCTCCATTATATTTCTGTTGGTCTCTCTCTCTCTCTCTCTCCTTCTCCTCCTTCCTCTCTGCAGTTGCTCTCTCCTGCCTCCTCTCTCGTCCTTCCTTCCTCCTCCCTCCTCCCTCTCCCGTGCCCCTCCCCTTGTGGTCGCCGTCGCCGCCCGAGGACGCCGCCGTGCTGAAGAAGGTGCAGGAGCGCTTCGAGGCGCGGCCTGGCCCTATGCCAGATCGGCGGCGGCGGCTGCCTCCTCGTTCTCGCTGCCCCCATGCTCCTCCTTCCTCCTGCCCGCCCCGTGGTCCTGAGCCTCCGGCTCGATCAGGCGGGGGAGGGCGGTGTGGACAACGGGGGCGGGGGAAAGGGAGGTGGAGGAGGAAGGGGAGGAGGAGAGACTTGGGAGGGGGCGGGGGACGAGAAAGATCAGAGAAAGAGGAGGAGGAGGAGGAGGAGGAGGAGGAGGAGGAGGAGGAGGAGGAGGAGGATAAGGAGAAGGAGGATAAGGCCCCCTTGGGGGTGTGTGTCTCTACTTGAAACACTCTGGGGGTGACCCCTGGGTGCCTATACGGAAGCTGGCCCCCGGCCCTTGCGATCGAGGGCTGCCTGGCGCGCGCGGCCCCCCACCCTGGCGGTGGTGGGCCGCTGCACCGTCAGCAGGGAGACCCTGCCGTGGTGCACGGGTACTTTAAACGCAGGCGGACTGCGGTGCCTCCCCGTGGAGGTGGCCCCAGTCCGCTGGCTGAGAGCACTCTCCCCCCCCCCACTCCCACTCTCCACCTCCCCCCACCACCTCTCTCACTGATGTCGGCACGATGCGATAGGAACAACAAGTATGGCCTGCTGATCTGCTGGGTTGGGTGGGAGCCCGCCTGCCGCTGGTTGGCTGCTCTCCGTCATTGGTTAGCCTCATTGGCAGGAGAATGCTGGACGAGAAAGCTTCTGGCGCTGGCAGGTCGGGCTCCGCTAAAGAAAGGGCAGGCTGCTGGCTGGCATCACTGCTCACGACATGCAGCCCAGCCCCTACCCCGCCTTCTCTGCGACCGATGGGTCGCGGAGGCGAAGGTCCCCGCTCGGGCTCGGCGCATTCGGCTCCGCTGGAATGCCCGGCGGGGTGGGGGCTGGAGCTGCAGCTGCGTCGGCACTTTCACGGACGGCGTCCACCCGTGGATGCTCTTGCTGGAGTTCGTGCATTTCGGGCGCTGCTGCGTGCCACTGTTGTGCGGCTGCTGTAGGCTGTCAAGACTGCTCTGCTCCACCACCGTCACCTCGCCGTAGCCCCAGCCGTAGTCACTCTCCGTGCACTTGGTGCAGTGGCCTTCGAGCTCGTCGATCTGGAGCCTCGTGCAGTCCAGCTCCCACGGGTAGGGCCCTTTGTGGAGCCTGCTCTGCCGAGGATGCTCTCGACGCCGCGGCAGTGCTCGATGGCCTTGCTGTTTTCGTCGAGCTGCTGCTTGAGGAGCTCCGCCACGTGAGTGCGCTCGATCTCCTCATATTGGTTCGGGCTCTTGCTGGCGGAGACCCTCGTCAAGCTCATCGTGATGCGCTCCTGCTGCTTGCAGAGGCCGTAGAGCACCATCTGGTTGTGCTGGATGATGTCTTCGTACTTCTCGCTGGTGCTCTGCAGCGTCTTGTGGCAGGTCTCCAGGCGGTACTGCATGGTTCCGAAGAATTGGTCGCATGGGCCGCTGCCGCGCTCAGCAGGTTTCTGGATCGCCACCTGCTCCATCGCTATCGCCGCCTCTTGCACTGGCGTTGTGGGCTGGGCTGCCGCGGCCCTGACGCCCAATCTGTCGGGCTGCGCTGCTGCGCCGTGCCGACTGGGCGCGGTTGCTGGAAGCACCAAATGGTCCCGCGCGTGGGAGGAAGTCGAACGGCTCGGATCGAGTCGAAAGGGCTACGGTAGGAGACGGACCTGGATAGTGTTGGAGTCGGAGCTTGTCGCCTTGCACTCCTGGCCTAGCCTGGTTGTTTCCTGAACTGGGGGAACACATCAAAGTAGGAGAGAGCGGGCGTAGGTCCGTAGTTGTGTTGACTGTGGTGGGAGAAGGCGAGGGGTCAGGAATAGGCTTAGGCGTCCTAGTCGGTCCAGCTCCTGGTACGTAATGTCCTGGTTCGGTCCTGGTTCGGCTTCCCCCTCGAACCCCGAGGCCCCGTAGTGGGTGATCCCTGTAGAGGCCCTTGAGTGTCCCCTCTGGTGGGTGGAGTAGGTGAGCACCGACGTCGATCCGCAGCCTTCTCGTTGGTGGGTTCCATAAGTAGGTAGGTCCACATCCGTACACGTGCTCGTACACATCCTGCTGTCGTGAGGCCCCGATTCCAGTAGCTGTCTGCCTGGTCCTGCACCTGAGGCCGATGTGCCTAGTAGTGATGAAGGTAGTGGTTGGGGCGGATGGTTAGACCGTAAATTGTGAGGGTAGGTTGGCAGGAAGTATGGCAAGCCTTCTCTCATTGTTGTCCCATGGCCTGGCAGTATTCTCTCGAACGTTGTTCCCGATAGTAAGCAGCCATGCGTAGTATTTCCGCCATGTGGCCCCCAAATCGTGAAGCTGCTTATCGTAGTATCGTATATCGCTCGAGGTCGCTGCTGATCTGTATCACGAGTTTTTTAATCTCTGGTGTACGGCGGGACTGAGGGGGGCAGTCGCCGGATGGCCTTCGTCCCGTGGATCCTGCGGAGACGCTCGCGGGGCCCGCAACTGTTGTCGGCTGAGGGCTGCTGGGCTTCTCCAGTGGCTGGCTCACTGTCCGCGGCGCCTGCTAAGCTGGGCCTCGACGACCCTCGCTAAGCCCGTCTTCGAGTCTCCTGAGCGGCTCTTCCTGGCGCCCAGGAGCGCCAGCGCCAGCCCCGGGGCCTGCTTGAGCACGTCCCCCTTGAAGCCTGGGATCCTCTCGCACTGGGCCGGGCCCAGGTTCTGCTCGTGCAGTGCCGCCCTGAAGGACGGCGACGTATTGCTCGTGTACATGGCCCTGCCACGTGCTGCATCGGCTGGTCGTTGTCCTGCACCTTGGCCTGGAGCGCCTCCACGATCCCCTCCACGAAGGCCGCCGCGGCGTGGCCGCGACGAGGTCCGTGTCCGTGGCCCTTGCTTTTGGCCTTCGCCTTCCCGCCGTACTCGCGGCCTGTCTCTGTGGGTGGCTGGATCCATTCTTCCGCGAGGAGGGCGAGCCAGAACTCGTTCGTGAGGTGGGAGAGGTTGCGAATCTCGGCTGAGTTCTGCGAGGCCAGCCGCTGTAGTGCACGTATGCTGTCTCGTAGGTCTGTTTGCACTCCCTTTCCTCCCTCACCTGGGCCTCCACCTCCCCCTGGGGATCCGCGACCGCGTCATCATCGGGCTCCTGGCTGGGACGCATGGCTGCCGCTGCCATCGCCGATGTTGGTCTGCTTCTGTGGTCGTAGCTCTTACGGTCCTGGCGGCGGCGGGCGCTTGACTCGCCACTCCATCGTCTCGACCTCGGCATTTCAGGCTGTGTGCAGCTTTGCCTGTAGCCGCTCTGATCTGGTCTGGGCCCGCGAGGTGCTCTCGTACGTGCACCTGCTACTCCTGTAGTGTTTGAGCCTGATGGTTACATATCCGACATGTTAGTGCCCTGGTTTTTTGTATGGGTTGGGCTATGGTATGGGTTGGGCTGACTTGGGCCTGTCCCGGTGGCATATCACGTGTTTGTGGACCGATATCGTTGCATTGTCGATTGTTGATGATTGGTCTACAAATGTACTCTTACACCACGGACACTGGTTGTTAATTAGCATTGCTGCAACAGCTGGTCTAATGTTGTGTACCTCTCGTCGGTGCCCTGCAAGGGCCGCGTAGGTTTGGTATATCTGTCCACATGTTGTTTCCACTCCCTCTGTGCCCACAGTAACAATAGTACATCCTCGTCCTTCCCCCCGTTGACACCAGTGACCTCCCTCCTTGGTAGTACATTGCAGTTTCTTTCATAACTGTACAGTAGTATGGGGTCTGTATGTAACCATTGTTTTTGTTTTGTGCTCCCTGTCTCGAGTATGGCCAGATCAGAGTCCCGTTGTGCGTGCCATCCCATACCCTCGTCTCTCTCGAATAGTAACTGCATGTCAGCTGCAAAGGGTGGGCCACGGGGTAGAATGTGGTCTTATCCAATTCGTGCCCGTAGGCCTCCTGACCCCCCGTGATAAGTCTAGTCGGGATGAGCCGAACATTGCAGCGAGCAACACGCCGTGTTCCTTGGGGTAGCGGGACCAGCTCTGGTACCACCTTAGTCGTCGTAGCGTCAGTGCAATATTTGAACGTTCCATCTTCCAGTGCCTGAATACGTATCGTAGGTTGTTACAGCGTACGGTGCCGCCTCCCTTCTCCCAAGACGTAGCCCCTCATGCTAGTGTGCGTAAGTGTGTGACTAGTACACTGTCTAACGCTTTGATGTGTGTTGCGGTTGTAGCAAAACCCGTTAGTCCGCTGAGGGCCGCGCTTATGACGAAGGCCATGTACATGAGTCGTTTGATTTGGCGTGGTGTGTCGGAAGGTACCGCATTGTCGCCACGCCAGTCTTATCGCACCGCTGTGTCTGGCTATTTCGCCTGTGATGCCCTGTCCGGCCGGTAGGGACGGCCCCGGTGCCCTCATTTCTCTGAGCCCTCTTAGTGTGGTGCTGCGTCGCAAGGCCGTGGTAGTACTGTAGTTACCCCTGCCTGCCCTGTATAGTAGGTGGTTCGTTTCGTTGTGGTTAAGGTCCCAACCTTTTTCTTTCAGTGTGCCGGCCAGTCGGTCGGTGGTGCTGTTGATTTGTGTCTCTATCTCTTGGGCCGTGGCAAAGTTTGGGATTGCTTGTACGTGGGTGATGTCGTACATGAATGTGTTGGAGCTCGTGCCGTGTGTGTGGCCTCACATCGGGTCGTACGTGTCGTTTAAAGTCCGGTGTGGGTCGCTTCTGTCCTGTGGCCACCATTTGCTGACGTAGCTTTTGTGTGAGTCGTTGAGTTGTCGTGGGCAGAGGGTACGACCCATTTGTGCTCCATTTGTGTTTTCCGCCTCCACTGGGCCATCTGCCGTCTCGAGTGTCATGATGGAGTGGTCGATGGCAGCCACTGCGTAGCGTTGGTCGCTTCTGTGCGCATGTTTGAATGCTACCGCTTTTGGAAGTGCTCTGTTTGTGGCTGCGAATGCGTTGGTGCCGTCATAGTTGGTGGTGATGGTGCGACTCCTCCTTGTGCAGCCCTTCACTGGGCAGCT